GGTATTGTTACGCCATCAACGTGAATACCCGGTTATAGTCTGACCTCCTTCTTCCAGGTGGTGAATAGGGTTGCCGAGGATTTCGCAGCGGATAGGGCAAGGCTCCTTGCAGTGAAGAAGGGAGAAAGTTCGGCGTTTACTTTCAGGCACAAGTCATCAATTACATTCCCAGACGCCATGATCGAACAATCGTCAGCATAAGAGACAACCTTTAGTGGTTTGGAAGCTTTGAGATGTAATAATTAAACATTAGTGGGGACAGGACACCACCTTGCGGTTTAATTTTTCTTAGCTTGCTGGTTTTGTCCCTAAAAATTACTGAAGAGTGTCGACCACTCAGTTAATTCGCCGACCACCGTTTGAGTCCCTGTGGGAGTGAGGAGGTCTCGTATGTCTTCTAGCAGCGTTGAATGACTGACAGTGTCGAACGCCAACGCTACTAGAATAGTTCTCTCACAGGGACGGTTTCGGTTAAGGCTACGAGTTATCTTAGTGTTTATGGCGTTAAGTGCTGTTGTTGTGCTGTGCACTTTACGGATTTGCCTAGAATCCCGGGATCTTCGGGATTCGTAATTTGCAATGGTGGCAATAATATAATGCCTTATGTTGACCAGTTTTCGCTATATTTCCTTTGTTTATTTAATGTTTAATACTTTTTTTTTATAGGGCTAGCTAATTATACATTCACATAACACCGTGCAACCGGCAATTTTACACACAAAAAAATCTGGGCCAAATATATGCAGTAAAATTGCGTTTTAACTTTTTTCGCTGACGTCTGGGTTTTTTAAAAGGACTTTGAAAATTGAATAATATGAGTAATTCAAAAAATGGTTTAAAAGATTTAGTGCAACGTATTTAGGAAAACAGTATGGGTATCAAATTAAAGAGAAAAAATTTAGAGAAAGAACAGATACAATTTTGTCGCGCATAAGGTATTGAAAATGTTCTTAAAAATTGTATCCTTGAAATACCTGTTCGTCCTTGTGAACCCAAAAAATTTGAATTTTTTTGAATTCTACAGAATTTTCTCTTATTTGGTACCAATTTTTATTCCACATTACACTGAATTTATCATATCTTTGAAATTATAAAGTTCTAATAAAAAAATTCTAAAACTAAAAACGCAGTTTTACTATATTTGGCCCATAGTGTCGTGAGTATATTGATTGCTTCGTGTGTTTTGAATTTTTTTGTTTCAAACTGTTTCAATCAAGTATAGCCCATTAAATTACAGGAGGATAAAGTGCAAGTTTCAAATGACTAAAAGTAACGTTGATTTTTATATTTTTTTTTGCTGGCGGTGTCACGCATTTTCTTCCATACAAAGTATGTTTGACAATTTGTTTATATGAAAGAAAATGCCCAGCATCGTTTAAAAAATTTCCAAAAATCAACGGTATTTTGTAACTGCATGAAACTTGCATTTTATCCTACTTAAATTTAATGGACTATAAAACTGAGTACCTCAAATTTTTCTAAAAATGCTGAGTAAAAGGTTTGAAATTTTTGGCATTTTTAGACTTTTATAAAAAAATTTAAATCACTACATATTATAAAACAAAGTCACTTTTTCTGTCCCTATGTCCCCTTAAATGCTTAAATCTTGAAAACTAAGCAACGGATTTTGATGCGGTTTTTTTTAATAGATAGATTGGTTGAAGAGGAAGGTTTATGTCATTATAATGTGAAGAAATATATAAAGGGGGCGTGGCAATCGGACAAAATGTGGTAAAAACCCACCCATTTTTTGTTTACACAGCCATAAATCATAAAAGAATCCACCGATTAAAATGAAACTTACTTGAAGTTAAACTTTGAAATATTTACTTTCGTTCTGGATCAAAAAAAATAGTTGATTCATATCTTATTTAACCAAAATTGTTTAAACAAAAGCAGCACTTTTTCCAAAAAAAGCTGTTTGTGTGTTTGTTCGCTGTCAACCGAATGAAACATTAGAAGTTATGCGGGAATCTCACCCCACCTCATTCATGTTGAATTAGATCGTATGGTGAAAGAACTCGGTACGTATGTATGTAAGTACATATGTACGAATCTCTCGCATAATTAAATTTCGGACGTACTATGTATGTATGTATGTATGTATTTTCAATTCATGTCTTTATTGCCGTACTGAATTCCATTGCATTGAGAGTTTTTATACAGAAAACCCGGAGAAGATGTATTGATTCCCCGAATCCCTATGATACCATCGGATTTACCATTCCAATTTAAACGTTTACAATTTCCGGTAAAGACATCTTTTGCAATGACCATTAATAAATCGCAGGGTCAAACCTTCAACGTTGCAGGCTTAGATTTGAGCGTTGACTGTTTTTCACATGGCCAACTGTATGTCGCTCTTTCAAGAGTAACCTCAAGAGAAAACATGTTTGTATTGTCTAATGACAAGAAAGCTATGAACGTTGTATATAAAGACATTCTGTAATATATTAATTGTTGTTGTAAAAATAAAATAAATATGTAAAAATGCAAAAAGTAAATATGTTAAAATGTAGGGTATGAATTTAGATATTCCAAAGATAGCAGGAAATCTTCATGGTATAAAGAAAGGGGAATTGTTTTACTCCAAATGTAACGCGTGCGGGCCACGGGCAGTAATGAATAAATCAAAACTACGGGATCGATTTTAATCATTTTTTCAGTGAGTGACATAGGCCTTATATTTTATTTCCGTGCGAAGCCGGGGCGGGTTGCTAGTATTAAATAAAGAAAATAAATATAGACTAAACTGGTTGAAATAAGGCGTTTCTTTTATTTCTGCCACTAGTATTATGAACTTCTTTCAGCCACACAACACATATCGCACACCGTCTTCAAAAGAGTCACAACTCAAAATTTTGCATTTTTGAGATTATACGCAAAAAATGTACGCAGAGCTTTTATTTACCTTTCAGAAAAATCTGGGGAAAATTTTTGTTATAATTTGTTAAAGAAACCTAACCATATGATTAGCATGTGCTAAGAAATAGTTGTTCGCATTTTCAGACAAACGTATTATTTTGAGTTGTGACTCTTTTGAAGACGGTGTGCGATATGTTGACATAAGTTTTTGTTTGCATCGAGCTTTTTTCGACATGCCTTAAGTTACTTTATCAGATATATAAACGCTAAAGTATTGTTAAATGCGTATAAATTTAATTACTTTCTTTTGTTATGTTAGTAATGAAATATTTTTCAACTTCAATAATAAAGTAGATTTCAAATCCATTTATTTATTATTTATTATATTGTAGGACAGCTTCTAAAACTATATTGATGCAATTTTTTCATGTTAAGTTGAATATCTAAATCCCGGGACTAAACCCGGGATTCCGGTATTGTATGAACGATGTCCCGAAAATCCCGGTATCGCAAAAGGTCGAAAAACTAACATTCCTAGTGTATATTGTTGTGTTGTGCTGGGGTGTGGGTGTGTTGGTTCTCTGCTGCACGGGCGGGTGGTGGTTTGCCGTGGAGGCGGTCCGATTCGCACAGCATGGGGCCACGAACGACGTGGTCCATTGCCGGTGCGTGCGTAGGCCCGAGCAGGTATGGAGATGACTGCACCCATCAAAGGCATTGCACCTGACCAAGGTGGAGTTTGTATGCAGTCGTCTCTGGCATACGCAGCAGGTGTAAATTTCTGGCCCTGGGTTGGACTCTATGCCAGTCCTGAGCAGAAGGGTACGGAGCAGATGTAGTCCTAGTATCGAACAACATTTGATAGATTTCGCCGACCTAAACGGGGTGAGATCGCCGTAGGACCGGCTGTCGTGGGAATGTAGTTTTTACCATATTTTAGCCTGGTGGATTCCGCGCCAAAACACTTTTTGATATTTTGGACTGTTACATTACATTAAAAATACTGCCGACTTTATTTTCATATGGAAAGCTAATCACTTATTTTTTTGTCGAATACTTTTCTATTAACTTCAATGTAATACAAGGAGAGCGAAGAGAAACAAGTATAATGCAAAAAATGGTGGTCCTTAAATGTAAACTACCGTTTAGTTTCATTTTGTGCTTTTTTAATTTACATTAATTTGAAGGTGTTCCAGGATTAAGTGAATTTTCATGTTTCAGAGAAGGAGAGTCGTGTTAATATTTGTTTTGTCCCCCTTACTGAATGCCGTTTATCTCTAATCGAGATAGCCAGGTTTATAAAATCAAATTAATATATGTCTAGGTATTAATATGAATTGTAAAAGCGGAGAATTAGCAAGGAAAGATTTGCACACATCCTTCCAAGGAGGAACACTCTAAGTATATCAATGGCTTCATTTGGACGATATTCTCAATATTTAATTTGTGTCAGATGATTTCAATGTCTTCGAGTGTACATGGATTCATAGCGAGAATTAGGATTTGTTCATTTACGTCGAATTAATTATGCGGCCGTGTTTCTCAATCGAAAACAACTAGTACGTTTCAAACATTTTTTTATTTGCCCGTGGGGTTTGTTCCAGCTTGGGCGTAATATAAGTTTAATCAAAAAGTATTTTTTTTTCAAAACACAACCAACGATACCATCATCGTAACTTTACTTGTAGGCAACATACACGCTTTATTTTAGTATTAATTTTTGAAGAATGATTGACTCCTAAGAAAAGTGAAAATTACTTTGAAATTACTTTGTTTCATTCAGATTTGCCGAAAAATAGCTTTCACAGAGCACGGCACAATATAAAAAAATTTAGTTTAACAAAATCAACCAGCTCAGCTTCTAATTGTAGTGATACTGTACCAAAATCAAAACGGGTTTCCATATGTCTGGAGATTGATTCGGAAATTTTTTGTCTTTGCGTGTATATTTAAGCGCCTTATGTACTTAGGCTGTAATTATCAAAATATCGTCAGACCTACGTAATCGAGAGTAGCCTTGATAACGAATATTATAACTACGTATATAGAAATAAATGTAAAATAAAAAAATCTGAAACCTTATATATGCGACATATAATTCTTCCGAATGTTTTTTAATTTTCGGCATTTTCTAGCCTGGACAAAGCAACAGTAACAACGGTGGAACCAATAATAACAATAACGGTAGTGCTAATAATACTAAGACAAATAACACTGGAAGTGGTAATTCTGGCCCTAGTATTTCGAACTCGAATAATAATAATGTTGGCAATAGCAATAGTAATGTTGGATTAGTTGGTGGTGGTACTTCTGCCGCAGCTGCTAAAAATCAATTAGAGCAATTAAATACAATGCGTGAAGCGCTTTTTTCTCAGGATGGCTGGGGATGCCAGCATGTTAATCAGGATACGAACTGGGAAGTGCCTAGTTCACCTGAGCCAACAAACAAGGACCCATCTGGAGCACCAACAATGTGGAAACCAACTATAAATAATGGCACTGACCTGTGGGAATTAAATTTAAGAAACGGTGGCCAGCCACCAACTCAGCCAGTTCAAAAAACACCGTGGGGTCATACACCATCGTCTAATTTAGGTGGAACATGGGGAGAAGATGATGATGGCGCGGACAGTAGCAGTGTTTGGACTGGTTCATCAAATAATCCTACATCTGCAGGTGCTGTCGGCGTAGCTGGAGTCAGTTCGACGGGAGTTGCCGCTAATGTTCCTGTGAACGGACCACAATGGGGTCAAAGCTCTGTAGGTGTTGGCGTAGGCACATCTGGAAATGCTGCTGGGGCGCCATCTGTGAACATAGGCAGTGTGTCTGCCGTAGGTTGGTATTGATACTAAAAATTCACTATTCTTTACTTAAATGTTACATGTGTCTTCAGGTAGTGCTACTGGTGGCCCTGGCGTGAATGTTACTGGTAGCGTAAATTCAGTCTCAGCTAGTGGCTCAGCTGGTAATAATTGGAGCGATTCTCGTGAAATGAGCAGTGGTACAGTAAGCGGCGTAATAGCAATGCGCGGAGTTGACCCACGTGATCAAATTCGGGGCACCTCAGCTGCCGAGCCGCGTGATTTACGCATGTTAGATCCACGTGATCCGATTCGTGGTGATCCTCGAGGGATTTCGGGACGTTTAAATGGAACATCGGAAATGTGGGGACAACACCATTCCATGACACATAATCAAATACCTGCAATGAACAAAATAGTGGGGCCCGGTGGAGTAGGTGCCGGCGTGTCCACTGGTGCTGTAGTTGCTGGTGCAGGCGTAGCTGGCATCGGACCCGGCGGTGTCAACGCTATAAATCCTGGCGGCGTTAGCGGTAATGTAAATGCTCATTGGGGCGCATCTTCAGCGGTTGTTGGACCAAAAGATATTACTTCAATGGCAGGTAAAGTCACTGGATGGGAGGAACCATCGCCCCCACCACAGCGACGAAATATACCTAACTATGACGATGGAACATCTTTATGGGGACAACAGTCACGTGTATCTGGCGGAGGTAGTTCTCATTGGAAGGATATTTCTGATCCAATGAACAGGCATTTAACTCGAAACGCTGTAGGTAACCAAAATACCACAAATACGGTGGCTGGTCTTGGCAGCGGAGCTGGAAATGGACTAGGCGGCAATCAGGGTGTACTAAATGCGCCAGTCGTTGGTGGTAATACAAATAATCCCATTAGCAGTGTTGGTCCCCAAGGCCGGCTTGGTTCAGGTGTTGGTCCCGGTGCTGGCGTCAATCAGCATAAACCTGATAATACTATGTGGGTGCATGCGAGCAATCCGAATGTGAATGCTCGTAATGCTGCCGCGTGGGGTGATGAGACCAACCATAATGTGGGCCCTAATTCCGGCGTAAACTGGATGGATGACAAAACTAACGCTGGTATTGGACAACTAGGCGTCAGTGTAGGTGGTGCTAATTCTTGGAATGATCCTCCTGCATCTTGGAATAAAAGTCAAAACAAAATGCCTGTTGGTGCCGCAGGGTGGGGTGCGGCAACAGGAAATGACGGAACCGATTTGTCAACAGATTGGAATGGGCACGGCGGCATTGTAGGCAAAACCCAACAGAAAATAGGGAGTGTTAACGTTAACATTGGTAACCTGAACACTGACGTGATCAAACAGAGTAAACAATACCGAGTACTTGTTGAAAATGGCTTTAAAAAAGAGGACGTGGAACGAGCTCTAATAAACGCCAATATGAACATCGAAGAAGCTGCAGACCTCCTCCGGGCTAATGCTACAATGGCGATGGATTGGAGAAGACACGAAGAAACTTTGGGTTCCTATGGTGATCACCCTAATCCTGGTAGCTTTCCAGGGCGCTACCCTCCAACGGCCACTCAGCCTACTATGCCATTCCCTCCGGTAAGTTCTATTACATACATAGCGAACATTTATATCCTTTATGCTTTTATTATTTGCTGTACGTTGTGTCTACATAAGTGAATACATTTTATTTTCGGTTTATTTAGAACATTTTAAATAATATGAGCGGCAACGCTGTTAGTGCCAGCGGTAATAATTCAAACCTGGCAGCGCTCAATTCACTACAACCACTTCCAGTGCAAAAGTATCTGAATTCAGCACCACATAATGTTGCAAGTGGACCGCAGACTATGAATCCTGCCGTCGCATTTGGACAGGGGGTTGCTAATGTTACTGCGGCTGTAAATGCGGCTTCGAATAGTAACAGCCAACCATCTGCTCAACAACTACGTGTTCTTGTTCAGCAAATACAATTAGCTGTGCATAGTGGTTACTTATCCAGCCAAATTTTATCAGAGCCTTTGCCATCCTCAATGCTCGTACTTTTGTATCAATTATTAACAAACATAAAAGTAAGAAATATTTTATTTTTATTTCCTTTTTTGATTGAAGTAATATGTGGAAATTTTGTAGCACCTCCAAGCGGCACAGCAGTCCTTGACACGTGGTGGCAACAATGCCAATAACTCACAAATTAGTTATGCTATCGCCAAATATAAGCAGCAAATCCAAAATTTACAAAATCAAATAAACGCACAACAAGCGTTCATACTAAAGCAAAAGCAGCAGTCCATGCCACAAAACACACAACAGCATCCTGCAGCACATGCCAACAGTTCTAACCTGGAGTATATTAGGGGACAGCATGATGCCATAAGTGCTTTGCAAGGCAATTTTTCAGAAATGAACTTGTCTAAGGTATCATCAGCTAAGGCTTATAACGAAAAACAAATTTTTATGATATGTTTGTTATATTCAATTGCAGCATAGTGGTTATCCAGGTGGTCCAAATTCACAGTCAAAGCTTATAAATCAGTGGAAACTTCCAGAAAAGGATATGACATCTGAAAGCACAGATTTTTCTCGGGCACCAGGAGCAACCAAACAAAACTTATCTAGCGCTCCTGGAAATACTATGGGCCCCCTGGGTCTACAAAATGATGGGTAAGCACATATGTATATGATTTTTAATAGTTATAGTTTTGCTATACGTAATATTTCTTATTTTAAATTTGGTGGGTAAAAAATTGTTAAATTTGGTAGAAATTTTTATTAATAGCTTAGCATGTATTTTACATTTGTATAGCACTTGGTCAACTGGACGAAGTATTGGTGACGGTTGGCCAGACTCATCCACTGAAACTGAGAATAAAGACTGGTCCGTTGCACAACCTACGCCTGCAGCGACTTACACCGATTTAGTTCAAGAATTTGAACCAGGAAAGCCATGGAAGGTAGTTCTATTTTTTGCCTGTGACGAAGGGCTGTATTCAAATACTTTCTCAAAATGTTTAAGGGCTCCCAGATTAAAAGTATAGAAGACGATCCTAGTATAACTCCCGGCAGTGTAGCTAGATCTCCGTTGTCTATTAATTCGACGCCAAAAGAAGCTGATATTTTTGCAAATCCTAGCAAAAGTTCACCGACTGATTTAACACCGCTAAGTTTATCCTCATCCACATGGAGCTTTAATCCATCATCAAGCAATCAAAACTTTCAAAGGTAGAGAGATTTTCTAACATATAACAAAGATTAGAATACAACATACAACTACTTTTGTAAAATATTAAAAGAAAACTACAATGAATACGCTTCACCCAAAGTTCAATCGAAATATTAATCCTGTAAGCATAATAAATTCGATTTGTTTCCCTTTTAAATAAATTTAATGTTATTATAAATTTGGATGAGGTGTGTTCACGTTTCACATATCGTGCTAATCTATGAGTAGTCTTCTTGCAAAGCGCACTATGTAAATTTTTTTAGTTTTTGGTAGATAACGTACCAGTATTTAAAGTGGTTTCATGTCCATTAACAGTGCGAAGTCTTTCTATATTCTGAAAAAATAGCATCAAATGTTAACTATTTCAAAAGTCCCTATCATACTAATTTATAAACTCTCAAAAGTCTTCATCTTCTGATGAACTTAGACAACTGCTTTACGTCGTATAAACTGTTAATGTTGTGTCATGTTATGTTATGTTATAATGTTAATAAGCTCTTATTTATCCGAATTTTCAGGTAATAAAAAAGATTAAATTTAGATGTTACTATTATAAAATACATAACGCTGTTTGCAAGTGGACTACTCACATATATTATTTTGATACCTTTTACATGGGGGGAGGGTGAAATAATACAAACGACAATAACGCAAATTTGTGTTGCTTCCAAATTGAATGTGAAATAACACAAATTGCTTTATTTCATTTCTCGTTGTGTAATAAGACCAACTTTTAAACTTAACAATTTAGTAATAAAGCAAAAATAGTCCACATAGGTAGTGACCCGTTTAGAAAAAAGAAAATAATAAAATGACACTAGTTTACTTCTGAAACTGATTTTTAATGTTCAAGTAATGGGAATTATTGCGTATAGTGTTATTGCATGCACCCCACCCATGGAGGACTGATACCAGGTGAAGTATTATTAGAGTAAGAAGAAAGATTTTGAGACTGCCTTATTTGAAAATTTGCCTATAAAGTGTGACAGCAAATGTCAGAAAATAGAGCGAGAAAGCTGTTTTATTACTTCACCTGTTTATTGCGCCATACATCGCACCTGCTTGTACCGGGTATACGTCCAAATTTAGAAGTCTGAGAGTAGGTAAAATTTTACATATTGTTACGTCTTTATTTCGTATCACATGTTCGCTTTGTCTTCGTAAACGAACTCCCCAGTTCGGATTTAGAGAAGCAAGAGATGATAATGCAGAAATTTTAACTGTAGATAAAACTCAAAACAATATTCTCTTTGTTATATGCTGCAAACAGGAGCGGCAACTTTTGTTTGTTCTATGCTATGTCGGAATTACACCAGGTGAAGTAATAATAGTGAGAAGAACGATTTTGACTCTGCCTTATATGAAAAATTCCCTTTACAATTTGACTACAAGGCAGCCGAATGTCAGAAAATAAAGCGAGAAAGCTGTTACTTCACTTGTTTATTGCGCCAAGGGTTCATGTAAACATTTTAAGGTTTTCCAGCAATGCTTTCAACATATTAAAAAAGCATGCAGATAAAATTCATACAAAAGCGCTAGGTCCAATTGGACGAGCAGTTATTAAGGACGACGCTTTCCCTATATTTTGTTGGACTTGTCATAAGTAAAAATAGTTTGTGAATATTACTTTCTTCATATGAGTTATATCACATTTTTTAATTAATTGTATGTTAGAATAAACAAAGTTCTTTTTCCTTCTGTCAGTAAACTGTTACAAATAGTATAAATAAGCAATGGGAAATAAGATAAAAACTCAGATTTTGATATTATTTCCCATTTAAAAGTGAAAGAAAGCAAATTTCGCTTTATTGCCGTTTGTGTTATTTCATCCCCCCCCCCCCTTTACATACTTATATGTGTACTAATTAAATATAGTTGGTCCGATAGTCCACAACAATGTGCCCCGTCGGAATTATGGGCAACTTCAATGAACAAGACTTCTCGAGGTCCACCACCAGGCTTAGGTTCAAGCAAAGGTGCAGGCGTATCGGTAACTGGCGTACCATCCGTAACAAATTCCTCGGTAGTTGCTGGCAGTTCAAATGGATGGGTTGTTACAGGCGGCCGTGGAGTTCCCAATAGCACTTCTGGTTGGAATACAGCAAATTCGGGATGGAACTCCACATGGCTATTACTCAAAAATTTGACCGCACAGGTATGTGTTGCATTATTTTTCACTTGCTGCTCTTATATCTATATTTCCTGTCTTCCTTAGATTGATGGCTCAACTTTACGTACCTTATGCATGCAGCATGGCCCACTTGCAAATTTTCATTTATATTTAAATCAAGGAATTGCCTTATGTAAATATGCAACTCGCGAAGAAGCAAACAAAGCCCAAATGACATTAAATAACTGTGTTCTCGGTAGCACTACCATTTGTGCAGAGTCGCCGAGTGAAAATGAAGTTCAAAGTATTTTACAACATTTGCCACAGACGTCTAACACTGTTTCGGGATGTGGTTTAATAGGAAACGGAGGCAATGGGGCGAACAATGCTTCAAATAGTGGCGTAAGTGTTAGTGGTGGAAATGGTTCCATATCGTCTAGCAGTGGTAATAACAATGTAGGACCCTGTGGTAGTGTTGGTGGTGTAAGCGGTGGTAATGTTAACGGCAGCATGGCCACCCATTCAGTAGCGAGCGGCTCAGGTGGTAATAATGGTTGCGGAAGCAATGCAATGAACAGTGGAAGCACTGGGGGCAACGGCAACGGCAGCAATAGTCAAAATCAACCTGTTTCTGGTGCTTGCAGCTCAAACAGTGGCAAAAACGGAAATAGTAATAATATTACTAGTGGTAACGGTAGTTCAAATGCCACTTCAAATAGTGTTGTCGGAAGTAATAACGCTGTGGCTGCACCTGCATGGCGTCAAACACAAAATCCACAAAATCAGCCAAGACCATCTGGTAGGGATGAATATGATTATATTTCCAAGTTTGTTTGCTCCATTGTAGATGATTAAAGTTACAGTAAGAAGAATGCGTTTAAAATTTGTATTTAATATAAATCAAGTTATGATTCTTAACTACTCGACGAAGTTACAACAGAATTACAAGGTATATAGATTGACTGATAGACGAATGGACTTAGAGTTTTATATGTAATTTTTTCTTGTGGTTCACAGGATTGTAGTTTCAATCAAATTAAACGAAAATTACTCTAAATATAAAATTAATTGTGGTTAAACACCACACTTATGCTTCAAAACATTTATTTTAAAAATTATTACGAATTATATGCCTAAATGTGAAGTGTAGAATTAATTTAACACTTAATTTGCCGAAATGGTTCAGTGAAGACAGCATATTTGTTATTGAGCCTATAAAATCAAGACAAATGCAAAATAAAAAATGCAAAGTAAAGAACTGTAATGAAAATTGTATGATTTTTCTTTTCAATAGTTTAAGACTAAAATAGACATATCTCCATACTTGAGTTTTATTATAATGTGATAAGCTGCGTATTTGTACTTGTAAAATATAAGGAAGAAGCAATATAAAGAATGAGCTCTATCACCAATTTTGTGTGAGTAAATTGTTCCCATTATTTAACAAGCAAAACTAAAATAATGGGGAAAATTTGTTTTTGTTTTGCTTTATAATTTTAGGAATATTTGTTCTCATGGAATTCGCGATTCGGCCGAGTATTTGTAATTATCTGTGACATGGTGTTCTGCCCAAACTCTTATACTATAGACAGACGGCAAGGTTTATCCAGATTAACGGCGCAGTTGGTTCGATGAAAATTGTAGCTTGATAGACGGGAGTTGCGGATTAAACAAGCCGCGAGGTCGTGAGTTCGAATCCCAAAGCTAGCAAAATTTATATATATATATATATATTTTAAATTGCCTTAATTTTTAATATATTTTTTTTTATGTAATTATAGCTGTGGACGTTTTTAATGAAATTATATTTACATATATATATATATATAATGAACAAAAAATTAAATTAACTTGAAATATCAGTGTAAAATAAAATGAAATAAAATAAAACAAAATGAAATACATATAAGGTGCTCATAACTACACGATACCCGCATATTCGAGCCTATTCCATTTTGGCGTTGTCGTTGAAATATATTGATACGGC